ACACACACACACACACACACACACACACACACACACACACACACACACACACATCCCAGGCAAGTGTGAATGCAAGTTGACATTCACGTACACACAAGCATTATATGTCGTACTGTGTTTTCTTCTCCCTGGCTCTTTTTGAACGTCGCATTCTGCATTCTTCTTTTTCCTTGCCTGCTTTTCTTTTTCTACCGCATATTCCCTCACTCGCTTCGCTCAAATCACGCTCTCTTTCTTGAGACTCCTCTCCCGACTCTTTCGCTTCTTCCTTGTCAGATGTTTCTTCGTTCTCACCTGACTGGTCCACCAAGTTGATCACACTCTGACTCTTGTTCGCCCCCTCTTCATTCTCATTTTCCTCCTCCCTCTCCCTGTTTGTCGTGCTTGGAACCTTTTCATGCTCTGCCCCACTGACACCCTCCACGTCAGCTCTCCTTTCTCCCATGGTTGACTCCGAGACTATTTGCGTTCCTGGACCAGTCCATTCCATAAGCATTGGTCCTTCCCCCCCATCTTTCTCATGTGCACTTTGCTCCCTTGTGTCTTCGTCGGTGCCTTGCGCCTGTGCAGTGATGACAGTCGTATCGTGTGTTCCTTGCGACCGCTTGGAATGTGAATCGACATTCCCTAGCACCGCCTTCACTACCTCATGTGCCTGAAATTTTGGCCCTTCTTCGTCTGATGCTTTTTGTCGCTGGTCCTCTTCAATCTTTTCGTCCTTCCCGTCATCACCAACAACTTCCCCGCCTGCTGTTGGTGTTGTCTCACTTCTGGCTCCCACTGCACTGATGCCTTCTGACGGTCTAAGTGTTGGTTGCGGTGTGCTCGATGGCCGCTCACTGAACTCATCTCCTATTGCGTTTTGCATCCTAAGATGTCCTTCCTTGCCTGCCACACTCTCGCCACCAMCTCCTGCTGCTGCTGAATTGATCTTCTTCCTTGCACCTGTGTGTCCCTCAAGGCCTTGACTGCATCCCACAAGAATGTCGCTGTCGTACATACAGTCCGTTGCACAGTAGTCCACAGACCATATGACAGTTCCATACGATAGACTCGATTTCTTGTCGTAGAACGCAGCGCAATACTCGAGACGGTGATTTTCACGCAGGAATTCGAATAACGAGTTCACTTTGTCTTATATTTTGTGGTTTGGCGCCTCTCTGTTCGCCTGCTTCACGCGGGTAGACAAGTTGTCCTTTGCGATTTCATAAAACCTGCTCCTGAGGACTCTTTCCCTGAACACCCATTTCTCACCCATTCGGATAGCCATGTGCCATCTGCCATCAATCACACAAGGCTCGAAAAGACCTGGATGCCATATGATGTGATGCCCCCAGTCGTGTTCATATGACTCTTAGTACTTTGTTTCTAGAAAGTGAGGTCCTCCTTTCATCTCCTTCATGTCATATGATATATTATCACCCGGTGTTGGGAGATAACCCGGGGAGGGGCTACCTACCGTTCGCTGAAGCCATGGGCTACGGCGCCTGTCACTTCGCCGCGCCCGCTTCCGAGGTCCTCGGCGATCAGTAGGGTGGGGGGGGGCCAATCGAGTTCAAGATCCGTCGAGCCCCGTCGTCACACAGCGTTCTTCAGCAATTAGAGAGAGTATGATAGATTACTAAATATTTAAATAAGATTAAAGAAATAAGTAAGAATAATAAATAAATAAAAGAGTAGCAAAGTTAAAACTGGCACTCTCTCTCCCTCTCTCTGGCTCTGTCTTTCTCAGTCCCTGTCCCCCTCTCTCTGCGTGAGTCTGCTCTCTCTCTCTCTTTCTCTCTCTCTCTCTCTCTCTCTCTCTCTCTCTCTCTCTCTCTCTCTCTCTCTCTCTCTCTCTCTCTCT